TGGGGCTGGGTGAGCTGTAAGCTCCATCCCAACCCCTACATTCTATGATTGTAAATTCCCTGAATTTTCTACAGGATAGAAAATCTGTGAATGTTAAACATTCAACATCCAAGTCCTAAGAATGTGACATCCATAAATAATGGGATGGAGGAAAGTGAGAAGAAAATATTTGGGAGTAAAAGCTCTGTACAGCTGATGAGGAAAATGAAGGGAACCACAGTCACCACAGCAACTGGAAATAAAGATGATAAGTTGTCTCAAATATCAGAAACAAGAGAAACTAGAATTTCCTTTGCTGCTCTCATCACAGCTGGAACGGTGTCCCCAAAGCCATTCTAAAGTCAGCAGTGATGGCAAAATGCAGAAGTCAGAGGAGATGGGCAGAAGATTCATAGATTCACAGTGTGTTCAGGGGTTGGAATGGAGCTTAGAGCTCACCCAGCCCCAACCCCTGCCCTGGGCAGGGACACCTCCCACCAGAGCAGGTTGCTCAAGGCTTTATCCAACCTGGCTGTGAACACTGCCAGGGTTGGGGCAGCCACAGCCTCCCTGGGCAACCTGGGACAGTGTCTCACCACCCTCACAGGGAAAATTTCTGCCTGAGATCTAACCTAAATTTCCCTCTTGCATTTTATCCCCATTGCCCCTTGTCCTGTCACTGCTGCTATCAAAGAAAAGAGCCAAGACTGATTGGCTGATTTTAAGGCTTTCTGTTGTCCTAGAAATAGTTTTGTGCTCTTTGCCCCATTCCAAAACTTTGGGGTCCAACATTGCTTTGCTCTAAGTGGAAACAATCCCTGAGGATGGAGCCTGATGCCTCTGGCAGCCCCAGGACACACTCAGCTGCCTCTGTGATCCAGTGATGTTGTGGACAGGCAGGTGAATGTCTCACAGCTCATTCCAGGTGGCTGCAGTGTTTTATCTGAGGGAGTTCATGTTCCTAACTGGTTCTGCTGGGCTGAGGAGGGTGTTGGATTTATTGGGCCATTGGCTGTGATTGCTGTGTTGTTTCAGGGCAGTGAGGGATATCAATAAGGACAAGGACTGACAGCAGGTTGTGGTTAACTGCTGAGTTATGGTTGCTCTGGAGCTGAAGCACTGTAATAAAGGGGATCCCAGATAAATATCTGTAATGCTTTCCATCCCAAAAAGAAAAGGGAGAATATAATTGCCAAAATGTATAGCTCTTGGCTCTAAGTGTGTAGGTAAGGGATGGAATAGGTGGTTAAAGGAAGACATGTCTGGGATCTTTAAGGACTATGAGGTCATATTTTCCATCAGAGATTTTACTGTGGAACTGAAGGCTCAGAAAATCAGTAGTTTAACACTCTCACCACTGATGCAAACTGTGTGTTGGTAGCTCTAAGTTGGCATTAATTCCTGTTGCACTTGGGGTTGCAGTGGCTTCTGGAGGCCTCGAGCTGGTGACCCTGCTGAGGTTTCACAGACCATCTGAGATGTAGTAATTGTAACGTCCAAGTGATGTTTTGTGCTCTCACACCTTCCTGATCTCAGGCTCAGACATGCAGTGAAACTCTCTCCACTGGATCTTTTTGAAAGGATCCTGCAGATTTCTTCTGCTGCTGCTGTCAGGAAACCACTTTTACTGCTTGATGAGCATATTCCTCATCCCACAGAACAGGATCTCCTCTGCCTTAGGATTACACTTGGTTCTTTCCTTACCTCTTGTGAATGGATTGTTCAGTTTCTGGACTGAAACACGTTAGTGGCACTGGGGAGAGAAGCTTTGATCTTCCTTCAGTGCACTGACCTGTGTGTCGTGTTCATTTCTGACCTTCTGGAGTTGTCACAACATTACAGGACTTGAAAAATGGTGGTTTGAGTTCAAAATGTTGTGAAGGTTTGATTCACTTGAGTGTGGTTGTATATCCCTTATCAAGTGCTGTTTGTTAAGGAAAATGATAATGGATTGATGAACCTTTCAGTGTCTCATCCTCTGAGCTATGTTTGCAGGGCCATGGAGAATGGGAAGTTATTGTGTCAAAACCATAGTTCAGTCCACTTATAATTGTGCACTTTTATATATTTGCACTTTATCAATTTAATACTTGGATATTCTTCAATGAACTGCAGTAAATAGAGTGGAAGGACATAGTTCAAGGCAATTTCCCTTGCTTTAATTCTCCTAGTCCTCTCCCATGTGTTTTTTTTGGGTGTGATGACTGTTAAGACTCTGCCTTAAATAAAATTAGTTATATATTTTATACTTCAGCTTTGGTGAAAGGCATAAAGATACCCAGATAAACTCTATTCCTCTCTCTTTGTAACCTTCTCCTAGCAAATTCACCCAGTTGCTCTTTATTTTCATGGCAAGTGATGGATTTGATTAGAACACCCCAATTTCTATCTGTTTCTTTATGAATTGTTGGGGTTTCAGTGCCAACAGATTTGGACCAGGATGGATTTTACTCATTGGATGTTGTCCTGGGTATCATCATGCCATGTTTTCTTCTTCAGGAGTCCAAAATGATGCTTTAAATTTAAAATCTAAAGCTCCAGTAATGAATTAGAACTGGAAGTAGATCATGACCCAACACCATCCACGTCTCCCATTGATCCTTCCTCCTAGGACTTAATTCCAGGCTGGTCCATGACTTGAGTTATGGTTGTTTTGGGGCTTATGCTAATGAAAATATGTGGTGAATGAAATCCTGTCACATCCCCACTCAGAGAACTTCCAGGGCAATAGGAGTGCACAGTGGAATGATTCCAGAGATGTGGCCCAGCACGGAGTGTCTGGAGCAGCTGGTGGCAGAGTCATTCATGTTCTAAAAGCACTCCAGCCTGGATGCTCAGAACACTTATTTCCTGTGTGTGGGAGTCAAACCCAAGTGATTTGGGTTCAGCTGGTCACTGTGTGACCTCAGTGGTGTCTCCCAACAGCCTCCTAACCATCTCCTCGTGCCTTGCAGGGGGTTCAGGACCATCGTCATCCATAGCCATAGCTGGCACCAGCCAACCTGCCATCACCAAGACAACATCTGTGCTCCAGGATGGTGTTATAGTCACTACTGCAGCTGGAAATCCACTTCAGCAGAGCCAGCTGCCCCTGGGGAGCGACTTCCCCTTCGCTGGCCACGAACACTCGCTCCATTTCCCGCAGAACAGCTCTTCAAACAACAACCTGCCGCACTCTTTGAATCAAAACCTCCTCAATTCTCTGCCTATCTCTTTGCCAGTGAATCAGCAG